ATAACCACACAATTTCCATTAAAAAGGTGTACATGTGGCCAGATGTTGTGGTTTAGATTGTTTACTTTCCTTATTTTTCGATGTTCTGGGTCACAGAAAATCCACACAAATTTCAAGCATTACATTTTTAAGCCCGATTGGAGATCTGGGATGCAGGATTAATACAATGTACTTCATAATATTTCTGAGGATCAATTTCTGAATTTTTTTGTGTGCATTTATTCTGAAGAAAGCCAAGATAGTTTTGGGTCGATTTCACTAAAATTTAAGACATTGTCAAGAGGAAAACAAAGTGTTTAAGGAAAAAAAAAGGGAAGTGGGAAAAACATAATTTTATTTAGGCCATTTCTTTCTCCATAGCTTGTCAGTACTGATACAAGCTGAACATATTGCACATGGATAATATGCAATAAAGATGTCTATTTTCACAGTAATCGCTTGCAATCAAATTAAACGCCGTGCTGTATATTTTTTTTGTGGTTGATAAAAATTCCAGAGTAGCACAAAGCACAGTTGGATGTGCATGTTTGAAATGTTTCCCAAATCACATCATCATTTACCGTAGAGCCACGCGACATGCGTTAATACAGCACGAAATTTATGAACATGTTTACATGCATGCACACATTTCCACATTTTTTTTTACACGCGGCATCAACATTTACAAAACTCATCAGCTAAAAGGATCGTCATTTTATCTTGAAGATCTAGAACGGAAGAAAAAACTGCATGATTTGTAAACAGAATGCATGATTTGTAAACAAAATGTGGCATGTTTGGACAGAAAAATTATAATATTTCTGCTTGAGTGGACTAATTTTTTTCATCGCTTGGTGATTCATCTTGATCACTGACTCAATGGTAAATTGTGCGGTAGTGCTCAATGATGCTAAAAAACAGCCAGTGCTCCAGTGCACATCATGGCTGGCAAGGTGTGGACAACAGAGGGCTCACTTCATGATTGTATGATAAAAGGCTCAGCAGTCATTGAATAAGGATGTAGTGCAGTGTTGATACATGTATGTGTGCAGAAAGTATTCCTTAGCATCACATACATCATGCACGATATTGATACGGTCCGTATACTGAGTGTGGGGCGGGAACCAGCCTACCTCTCGAGAACTGTACAGACTAAGGCTGCATCTGAATCAATTGACTAGAGCTAGGTCTAGGTCCATGCCAATTGAAAATACGTGGGGACGGGCTGACAATAGACATAGCCGTAGCTCTGGAAGCCCGTTTCGGACACGGCCTTATTGTCGGGTGCAGCTAATTCTAAATATGTAAAGTAATAATTCAGTTACTAAACAGTTAGTTTAGTTATTGAATGTCTCGTTCAAAAAAGAATGACTTCTGTATTGCCAGAAAAATACCAGTTTACAAAAGGAATAGGATGACAATAAAATATAGTACGGAGAGTGCAACATTTGTGATGCGATCAAGCTAAATGAGTCTTTTGTCGGGAATTTTGTATTTGGAGATACAGGCCAAAATAGGGTAGGGCCACTTCATCACATCATTTAATGACATCTTTTGGTTTTCTAACTTTCATAATTTTAGAACTAAAGATGGTACCAGCATGCAGTTTTCACAGCAGTGATGCTGAGATGGTGCTCTTTTCAAATCTGTTATAAAACATTTTTTGACCAGGGTCGACAAACGACTCATGTAGCTTGATCGCATCACATTTGTTATATTTATGTAGGTGATCTTTAAATGCATGGTAATTAATTGTACATTTTAATTACATGATCTTGTAGCTATAGTTTTATGATCTGGTGATTGATTGCAAAATTTCAGGCTTCTACCCTCCAGACACGTTCAGTAGTTTGATTTAGGGAAATGATAATTACAAATGCCCGGCATTTCCGCATCGCATCAATTCAATAAATTTGATGCTTTCAAGAACCCAACAAACGTCAACGCGGGCGATCGCACGCGATAAATCAAGCCCGGAACTGGTTTAGAGATTTGTCGTCATCAGTCATTCGCGAGTTTAGCAAATTTTCAGGAGCGGTCAGTTATGCTGTCGGAGGCATCCCTGGGGCTTGTGGTACAAGACATCTGTATCAAATTTGCCTTGGAGCCCATCACTTGAGCAGCGGCATGTGATGGGATGCGAGGAATCTACGTGTATATTTGCCTTGCGGTATACTGCATCATTTCCCAAGCAGAGCACGCATGCACATTGCATTAAAACTTGTTGTGAGCTTTAGGGGCTGTGGTTACAATTTTCCAAAGCGCGGATTTTCCTCCAGCTTCTGCTTCAGACTTGAGCTTAATCATTTCTTTTGGCCTTCTAAGTTGCGACTCATTGGTTCAATGAAGCTTCTATTTTACCTAAAGAAGCAACCCTCCTACACAAACAAACATTCTGTGAAAAGTTGTCCTTTCAGTCAAAATCAAATCCAGAGACTTTTTATAACAGTTGAGAGCTCCCAGCCTACATGTACATAAAGCAAGATTGACTGGCTGTGACTGTTTATGTAACTGCATGCAGCTCTACTTTGACTGTAGATGATTGATAAGACAGCTGTGGCCTCAGTTTCCTGCTTTTGTCTGTTGACTGAATTTGACTAGTCAGAGTGCTTGCTTGAAACATGATCTGACTGTCACTAGCCTGTGTACTAAAAGGCAAGACAGGGAAGTGGATTTAATTTTGGACTGTGACTGTTTAATTAAACAGTAGGAGGTTTGTCTATTAAATGTGAGGCCAAAGTTTGTATGTTTCCACTTTGTTCTGATTGTAAATGATCTGAAGCCCAAGGAGAAGGCAAAAGCTGCAGTCAAACCCAGGATTTCGAAAATGACCAATGTAATGTCAGATTGATGTTCCTGTCATGCATGGCATCCAGACTGCCCCACATGTTTACATAATGGGATGTGACCTGTCTGGGTCCAGGCTGAGGTCATGAATGTGTCGGCCATCCTTCGGGGTGCCATGTGGTTCATGGCTGAGTTCTCGCTGTCTAGACTCAAGACTTAACCAGTCATTGGCTCATAGATCACTGTCCCATTTGTTAAGAATTAACTCATGTTAAATGTCTTAAAAGCCAGGTGTGAATTTATAACACTAAAAAAAAAAATGATTTTCCTTCTTTTACAAAGAAAAATAAATCCCTTATATCCTTGCAGCTAATACAAAAATCATATAAGATTATGTTATAAAAAAAATCCTACTGGAATACGAGCAAGCATTGAGTTCTAGCTTTTCACTGGTTTTATATATTTAAGTTCACCATTCATATTTTCATGTTTATGTACTCTCTCACCTTATTCTTGCAGTCTTCATAGCTTGGGAAATGAAAAAAAAAAAAAAATAAAAAATTAATTCTAACTACTAACTGAGTGGATTGACCTACAACCTACAGAGTTAGACTTTAGGCCTCAAACTTTTAAAAGGTGATGATTTTTAAATATCAAAGGTTTTTTTTCTGCAAGGTGAAGGTAATTATCTCGCTGATTGGTAGGGAGGGGACAAAAAAATTCTCCCCAATTTTAAGACTTACAACTGTTACTGATGAACCATCCATTGTTGCTCTCCATTCACTGAGGTGACTCATTGCCCAAAACTAGCCACTTATTACACTCTAATCACCCAATAACACCAGTTTTGCCTTTGTTGTTCAACAACAATGAGGGGAGAAAAAATAGAGGTCTGGGTTTTTGTGTTTGTGGTTCTGTTTGGTCATAAAGTCAGCGTGGCATGACTAAAAGACTCTACAGCTCCAGGCGAAACCTGAAAGGGCCAACAAAATGGACATAAAGAGAGTAAACTTGCGCCTTTTTTGTGGTTCCACCAAGGCCATTCTTTTTTTCATTGCCGGGTTTTTTTTTGGGGGGGGGGGGTTTGGCCACCTTTGTGGACGAGGCAGGTTTTGTTTGGTTGTCCAGTTTGATGGGTAGTGTTCTAATCCCTGCCCCGGGAAAACGAGAGAGAGAAAAAAATAACACAGTCAGTGCACTGTCAGCCCCAGACTAATAAAAAAAAAAGCCAACTGGTCATTTGGAGACAGGTGAAAAACTCCTTTAAAAAACAATTACATGCTCAAAAAAAAAACATTGATTTTTTTTTTTTTTCACAATCAGCAAGGCTTTTGTGATCCGGTATGAGTCATTTTGTTACCACAGTTTTCACATAGCTGGAAAGCATTCTTCCTCCCTACTTCCACTTCCCCCTGCCCCCCTTTTCCCCCACCCCCTCTTTTCCCCACCCCTCCTGCCACCACCTACCCCCTCCGTCTTCTGCTGTCAAAATATTGCTCTGGTTTCAGGCCTCCCAGTCCCAATGAAAATAGAGAAAGAAAAAAAGCCGCAAAGGTAGATTTCCAGGAAATTAGGAATCTTGGGGCTTATGTTGAACAGGTGTCGTTTCCTGTGGCCACGGTCTTAATATTGCCATTTCAGTTTTTGAGCGGTCAGTGTTCTGGTTTTTGTAATTGGCAAAGGTTGGCTGGGAGTTTGAATTGTGGTTTTTAGCTGGTAGTTTTATTGGCCTGAATTCTTTTTCTCTCCGATTCGGCTGTGCATTTGGCCCATTTCTGCTTCCTCTTCTTTACCCAGTAGGTTTTGATTGGTAAAAGGATATTCGATTTACTAATAAATGCAATACCCGGTTTTGTAAATGTATCCGTGTAGGGGCTTTCCATAGACGTCAGCAAAGTATTTGCACTGTGAACTGCTTGCTTTATTTGGTACGCTAGAGGTGTACACATTGCTCAAATTTGGAAGGACGGTAGGCCCTATTATCTTATTTTCCCTGAATTCGTGGATAACAAGAATTGATAATACCATAGACACACTACTGTGTGTAAATGGTCCGTGGTTCAGCTGGGCTAATACTGTGTAGAAAGGGTCTTCCCAACTCATACATCTGGAGGCCATTGACCACCTTCTTGCATTCTGATTGGCTGCTGCATCCACAGGCTCCGCCCCCTACTGGATGACATCACAGGGCCGGCCTTTGTGTTCACCACTCAACTCATGACCCACATGGCCTGTTCCAGTTGCATGTACTTTACCACCAACCAGCCCCTCTTGTGTTGTGTGTACACAGGGTGTCTGAGTATTTGGAGTGTTAAATTATTTCTTGATACAGCGGTACTACAAGCAGGGGATACAGTGTTACTTATGAATGAAGATTTGGAGGGATTGGACTTCCTGGGTGTGTGTGTGACGTTTTTTTCACTGTGCATTGTTTTGGAAGGATGTTGGTTATTTGCTTGAGGGGCATTTTCTCCACTAGGACTCGGAGTGTACATTTACACCGGCATGACCGGGCTGGCTGATTTCACACCACTGTCTTGCTACAAGCAGTGAAGTATGATATATGGGGTGAATTTCTTATGAATCGGCTGTCTGCATAATTCATTGCCTCTGAAAGACTGGAACTTCTTCTGCACACACAGTATCCAATGGGATGTTAATGATATTCTCACCGCAGAGTCTGTCTCGCTGTGTCAATCTCTGATTCATTTTTCGGGACGAAACACCCCAGAGGCATACATTAGCATCGGGCGGAACCCCAGACACAGTCAAGGGCTTTGTTGCACAATGGCTGCTCATAATATTCATAATTTCCACGTCTTCGGAAACAATGATGCTACTCCTGCATGACGGTAGACTCTTGTGTCAAAACAATAGCCTCTGGTTTGAGAGGAGTTGAAGACATTCTGGGGGTGGGGAAAGAATAGAAAATTGGACGCCGATGGAATTACATGTGGAAACACCAATTCAGCAGCCGGGATCCAAGATAATTTCTGGGAGCGCCGTCTTCCCGATGAAGGGGGAGAACAAGATCAAGACCAAGAAATCGCGGCTGATGCCGTCGCGGCTGCAGATTTTGCCGCGGCCCGAGGATGGGGGCGCTCTTCCACTGGACGTTGTGGTGCTGCGCGACAGGGCCAACCGAGCGCCGCGCAAGAACCGGGCGGCGGTGTGCGAACGCTGCCGTCTGGAAAGAATGGGCAGACAGCAACAGCAGCAGCAGCAACAACAGCAGCGAGAACCCTGCCCAGGTAATTGTTGTTAAGTTATCGAGTTTATACGAGAAGGCAAATGCAATGTACAAAGGGCTACTTGGGACGATCTTTGAACTTAAGAAGGATCTCTCACAACGATTTTGACTTGAGAATCTACTGAGAGTACTGTACTTCTGTCTTAGTCAATTTTGTTGGTATTTAGGAATATTACATTCGCCCTTTAGAATGTATAATGCAAAATATTTTGTGCCAATATTTTGACATGTGAAAGGATGGGGCATTGGGGGAGTGGGGGCTTCATAGTGCAGTTCATACATCTTATGGAAAGGATCTAAGGACAGAATTCATAACTGTTCCCAGGCCCCCACTTCTGGCACTGTGACATTGAGAATGTGTGTTTTATTAGTCAACATGCGACAATCACTTGATGTTGGCATAATGTACTTTAAACATGGTTCAATGTCTGGGACACCCCTGCGAGAGTTTTATCACAATTCTAAATTTAAGTCTGCCAATAGAAACATGATCAGGCAATCCCAATTGTGGTACACTGCTCCCCTATTAAGAAACAATTGCTCATTTTGTGGCAGGTGCGTTTGTGAGTTGCGTAACTGCGTGTGAAGTAATGATGAGGATGATGAGACATCTATCTTATCTTGATGGCCACCAATCAAAGATGCTTATATTTGATTTGGCTGAGCATGTGCCTCGCAAAAAGCTTCAGAAATTAATCATGACGAGAACATTCATCCCCCCCCCCCCCACACACACACACACACACACACACACCACAGACTAATTACATCTGGAGGTCGGACCAATAAAACGAAAGCCCATGTTAACCATCCACATGGGAGGAAATTGCCTATTATTACATGTTTAACCCTATTGGCAAAGTGAGTAAATAAACCATGTTACATTATTATTGTTGGAAGCGTTCACAGAGATGTATGCGTCATCATGCTATGCCTAGCTCCATTGTGTGATAATCATCTTAGACACACTTGGCACATGCGTGGTGTATAAATCTTCAAGTGGCGGAGTATTAAACTGAATGCCAGTTGGATCAAAATCAAGAAAGCCTGTCTGAGTATTTTTAGTCTTAAGCCCGGTTCATACTGAATGCGAATGCGAATGCGAAGCAAATTTGACGTCATGAAACATTCTCTGCGAAATTCGCCCGTGTTGAAATATGTTCAACTTTTACGAATTTGCAGCGCGAATACTTGCCATGACGTCACAAATTCACTTTCGCTTTTGCGCCGAGTATGAACCGGGCTTTATATCAAAAGAATCCAAAACACATTTGAAATCGTTTTAAGCTACTTTTCAAAATGCATACTAAATCAAATGCATACTACTTGATGTACTTTTATTTCCAAAACAGATTTCATCCAATTTGGATAATTGAGCAATGTAATGTCAGTTTTAACGAAAACTAAAATTTGTTTTTGCTTTGGTTGATTTCATCCAACTATGAGACCTAAACCTTCTAGGACGAGTCGTTGACTTAACCAGATCATGTCGGATGACGTGTATACATGTACACGAAAAGATTTTGGGATATCTGGAATGGATAAACAGGCAATGAGCGAGGCCGGAAATATCTCTGCAACCCGCTTGCAGCGAGCAAGGCCGGAAATATCAGGGTGTGCTACCCGCAGATGACGGCCTGAACCCGTCTGGCATCGAGGTTCATGAAAAACAATCCCGGGCCTGGGTCCGGTCATGTCAAAATAATCCCAGAGCGAACTGGTTACGAAGAAAAAAAATGATGGATTTTTGCGTATTATTCTAATTCACTGAAAGCTGGCCATTTACAATGCTGTAAATGCACTACAAGGGAACATTAGCTCTTGGACTGCAAAATAAATCTTCTGCAGCAAGTCAAAAGAACAGGAAGCAATTATGACGATTCATCCACACATCATTTCCGGAAATCCTCAAAACCTATTACCTAGATGACTTGTCAAAATGCCCACATTGCTACAGTCATGTCACGCTGAACATTATACAAAGTGCACAACTTCTTTGAAAAGGATTACCTATTTTTTTAAGACCACAAAAAAATTGTAGACGTAAAGATGTTTTTCTCATCAAAGTCACTCACATATGTTCTGCACTTGGCACCCTTGTAAGCCCTACTGATGACTCGGTAGCACATGTTGCAAATACTTAGCTTTTTACTTCATGTGGAATTTATACTTCCTGAGTATTGCATGTAAGGTTTCGACCCGCCGACTTGGGACATCTTAACACAGATGGCAGTTCCATTTTAGTTGTGGGACACCTGCAGTCCGTTAAAAAAATGAACCACGGCAATAATGGCCTCAAGATAAAGATTCCAAAAATAGTGCCAGAGAACCAAGTCTTTGAACAAACACCCGCCTCCCCCTTCTCGAATGTTCTTCTAAGGAGCTGGCTCGTCCTGGATTTTCTTGAGGTAAATTTAGAGGTCAATGGTTCACTTTCAACTGAGAGGTTGACGACAACCTCAAAAATTATAATGTTTATGACAAGTAAAGCAGGAAGAAATACAGCAAGATTTCTGTGAATTTCAGTCATCATTGCCTTCTTAGTTGTCCCAGCCTTACCAATATCTCATTCTTTGTGGATTTCTGACTATTATAAACCACAAATTCTTATGTGGGGGTGACTGGTTGTACCGTATTGGTGTTGATCTCATAATTTGACCAACTAAACTATCAAACAGAACTTCATGAGTCTTTTTAGTAAGGGAAAAAACAACTTGCTCAGACATGTACATGTATGTGGTCCTGTTGTATCTTGTTATAAATATCAAGATGCCTCTTCACAATTTCAGCATCATGTTTCATTTATGTTATCTCCAAAAACTCATATTTTCCCCCCATATTGTCAAAAACCTGCAGACACCATGGTCTACATGTAGTTTCAAGTCTAGTCAAATATCAAATAGCAATTTCTTTAATGGAATTTTAATCGCAAAGAGACATGGCTACAACATGGATACATGTTGTGCAGTACATGTCCCAGGGGATGAAATTATGGTCGGACTTCAGGACGTTTCTGAACAAAAATAGATTCTTGTTTCATTAGTTGACAGAATTTAACGCTCTGAATGCAACAGCTCAAAGCCCATTGTGTTAGTGAATTTTGTCAGAGCAGTTTTTAGAAGGTAGGGCGCCTGTCTCCATCTGTATCGTTGAGTTTTGTACTCTCCATGTTCAGCAGACAAAAATAGTTGCGCAGAGTGAAGTTAAGAATACAATTTTGTGTATACATTTGGTATACAATGCATTGTGTTCCTATTGATTGATGGGATTGGAAATAAATGTTGATGATGATGATGATATCATTCCCACATGTATCCCGAGATTGTTCCGTTTTTAGATAAATTCTAAGTGGATTCACAATCTCAAGAGAACAAAAGTAAATTCCTAAATTCTAGCGGGATTTAGGCGCCATGCCCAATAGTCTTTTTGTGCCTTCTTTCACAGGCTGCATGAATGTCTTATTATTGTGCGTGCTTCTTCTTAGATAATATTGGCTATCTCTGCCCAAATAATTTGAATGCGTGTGTCGGTGGGTGGGCAGCCAGATGGCAGACATGACTGAAACCCCAGAGACATCCTTAACCCGATTTCATTTACCGCAACAGTAAACTCCAGCGACCTTTGGTGACCTTTAGTGACCTTTGACACCAGAGAAGGAGACAGAGTCCTGGCTCCCTGGGCAGAGGCTGTGAATCCTCCATGTCTGGACGACACTAGACCTGCCTCCAGTCCTTACTGCATTCTGCTTGAGAGTTGTCAATTTAAAAACGCTACATAAACACTGGACATTATTGTGATCACTTTGTCAACAATTTGAGACGCTGTCTTTAAAAATGCTGCTGTTTCGGTTTTACTGCGTAACATGGAGCTATAAATGGCTCCATGTGCATACAAAGAATAATCTTAGAAGTGTTTGATCATTTTTCTTGAGGAAAGCCTTTAACTGAAGGCAAGTCTAAGGTTATTGTCTGAACCGGCAACAACAAGGAAGATACTGAAAACTAGACTCCATACACTACGGGGTGTCTCCATCCCCCACAGGGAGGTCCACACCATCCTCCCACAGCAGGGAAATCCTGTGTGTTGAAATGCAAGTCATTGTTGGGTTCCGTTGGTTAAAAATAGCATATTGTGATAACGGTATTATTAACCGCAGATGCTAGCCCGGCTGGGGTGAAGATTGATCAAGCCAGATTTACACAAGACATCTTGTGATTAATCTGTTATAGCACCCGGCGTCTTAGGTTTCATACGTGTAGGACCTAGGGGGACATTGTAATTTGACAAAGGACCGCGCAGCTTACAATAACTATTGCAGAACTAGGTGTTTGATTGCAAAAAAAATTATACAATATTTTTTTGACATCTTAATATGTATGGAAATCAGTCTTAATTTCTCATCCTTGGGAATCACAGTACAGACCCCAAATTTTTTTTTTTTTTTTTTTTTTTGGTGATGCCCATTTCATTTTGGATTGTTGATTTTTTTCACCCTGGTGTGTTTTCAAGATCTATTTTGTAAAAGGATATAAATATGTGCATATTTCATTGATTGGTTTGTTGGGACAAATTGATGCTGAACAAGTTTATTTCGCTTTAAATTTCCCTGAAAAACGATTGACTTTTAAATAACTGGAAAAAAACAGTACTGGGGGGAAAACTATTCAGTTGGTTTGCTTTGTTGACGCATTGGTGACTGGTGTCCCTGTTCAGTATTTTGGCTTTCCCGTTTTGACATGACCACTCTACCGAAACTAATTGGCCTAATTCACCAACACAGCCACTTTTACCAGGACCACAGAAAGAAAGCTCACACAATAGTAGAAGTTCAATAACCACCCCAGGAACAAATCTTGTTTAGATTTATTGCTACTTTTTTTGACACATGATGACTGGGACCACCCAGACCCTCGTGCACTGTTCAAACACACTCCTAGTCCGAACAATGAAAACAAATCCCACCAAAATGTTTATAACGGAGATGGTACAAACATGTACATTTTCAGTGGCTTGGCCAAGTTTTTGCTGCCACTTTTTACTGACTTTATGAGTCTTAACTTAGTGGTCTGGAGGGTCCTGTGTTTTGCTTTTTATAAATCATTCCTAGATACCTGATACAGTTTCCCCATTCCTATTAGTCAAGATCCGTCACGTGGGTGGTGACGCACACGCCAATTTCCATATAAGGAGATTTTTCGGCACATACCCAGTACCATAGACGTGGCTAGAGCCTGAGTGTTTTGCAAAACGGGAAGTAATTTGTTGAACAAAAGTGTGGGAAATTTGCGAATTTTGACTTTTTGACCAAAAAGTACCGTATTTATGAATGGGAATAAATGTGTGCTTGGCAGGTTTTAAACAAGTACGTTTGAAACCGGCTAGGAGCCTGGCTGCGGCCAAGCACACTATATCGGTACATGTACATGTACATATGTATTTATTCCCTTGTTCACTGCCAGTACATGTACATGTACATGTAATCCTGTTTCAGACACTTCTAACTCTTTCTTGCTGCTCTTTGCATGCTCTTCAACATGCTCATTTTTTTTTCCTAACAAAGTTTCAATTTGTGCCTTTTATTTTAATTGAAAAGCTAATTTCTTCTGTTTTGGATGTTTCCAACCCTCTGAAAATACTCTTTTATTTTGAGTTTAAATACTTAAAATGCCCCCATAATGCACAAAACTGATTGTACGTATGTACCATATGAAAGTTGTTAAGTAGGCCTATATTCAATACAAAAAAGTGGGAGATTTTATTTTCTACAAAAGTGACTTAAATTGTTGCTTGATAAATAGCAATTTGAAAACAAAGGCTATTTTCTGGGTTGAAACTCAAAATTATCGAAAACTTCCTTCAAATGTAAACTCTATCCCATTTATCCTGAGCTACCGTATCAGTGTTCTTTTTTAAATAACTTTAAAAAAAAATCTTTTTTTTATTAAATCTTAATATTCCCTTATATCATATATCATATCATATCACGGAGAGCCTTTTGGCCCGTAGGCCCCCGCTTCTACGAATAGGCAGCGACAGGCGATGTTGAATTTGGGTTCTCTTGCAGTTAAGCACAACTACATGTACGTATTAGCCTTTGACCATATCTTCTAACACAGTGGAGGCATTTTTATTTCTCCAGTAGCACAGAGGATCATCTAACATTCACTTCATTCTTACAATTCTAAAGGCCCACGTTGCCCCCGTGGGGCCATTTTTGAAATGATTTCCTCTAACGAGGATCAATTGGACCTGATTGGACACCCAGAGAGGAGAGAAGTCAACTCTTCTAATAACCCTTTGCTGTTCCTGGCTTGCAAAGAGTTGAGTCTAAATTCCCCTTAATGTTTGTGACATTTTCAGGCTTTTTTTCTAGATTGAGGTTTAACATGTAATTGTGTGATTGATTGTTGAAAATTAGAGAGCTATGAATTACTAAATTATCTGTGGCCTTTAAAAAACATGAAATGAACACGCTTGTGCAATGGACATTGTAAACATGCACACACTTTCAACTCGTTTTTAAACACTGAAAGTAGTAGTCGTACATTGGTAAAGTATGTCACTCTGGCTATATTGTTTACATTTTGATAGTTTTGTTTTAAAAGTCATGCAGTGCCATAGCAAATCACTTTAACTAAGTGTCGCTCCAAAGTTTTCATTTAAAATGCAACTTCACAATCGAGCTTTTCTTTTCTAAATTGTATTGTATTCTCTCTTTCACCCCTTCCCCCAGACTGTCTGTCACACTGTTTGCTACCATCTTTGTCAGTGTCACTGCTCCAGAGTATGTATCATGCTGGTATGTTAGTCTCCCTGTCTGTTTGTTGGAATTGTTTTGCATGTAACATTCACTCCATGTAGCATCTGCAAGTGGCTTGACATTTAGAAGCTTACATGTAATATCATAATTGTGTTTTGCTTTTTTTTTTTGCATTTAAAGGCATACAGTGCATGCATACTTTTTGTTGTGCACACGATTGGTATAGGCTTGTCTTTGCACATGTTGCATACAAATTGCTTACGAAACTTGGTATGGTTCATGTTCATGCACATGAACATTTAAATACATTTAGTTTGGTACGCATTTTTAAAAATATTTTTTAATCATAAAGAGCATTTTGTTGGTTCCATTGGCAAACATGTGTGTACAACAGTGAACTCAGCGTGCTAATTTATTCAATGTGAGGCTCTTGTATCAATAGTTAAAAAGAATGTATAAGGCCAAAAAAAAGTCTCCGGTTTCTGGTATGCGCGTGCATCGCCTTAGCCATGCGCGTTGGCAAAATTCAAATTTTTTTTTTTCAATGTAAGATGATGTCTCGAAACAGCCACGCTCACTATTTTGACTGGAATCCTGCTGCTGCACAATTTTAACGTGTTTTTAGATGGGGTTACGATCAAGTATAAGCTTTATGTGGCCTCTCTGGACTCCCATACATCTTGCACTAAATTTAGTCGGGCACCATTTGCCGTCATCAGCCAACATTTGAAGGGAAAAAAAGTAATAAAAAAAATATATAAAAAATCTGCGTCGCCACACCACTTTTGGGGCAAGCTCCATACCAGAAACCGGAGACTTTTTTTGGGGGGGGGGGGGCCTAAGAACCATATTCTGAATATCCTGGACTCTGAAGTGGTTCATTCATAACTTTGAGCTGTGCCCTTATATGGGCAAGTGACCCCATTATTCAAATTGCCACCAATGGGTGGCGAGAATTTAACAAAATGACACATTACTATCATGCTCTATAATTAGCACTCTGGTAATGAACAATTGAGTGATATGACATGGTCAGTGGGTGTGGTTTGTCCTATTGTTCTGACGCTCAGTCATGCAAACACATGGCTGCCTGCTGATTGGCTGGATTAATTGATTAATTAGGCGAAGGGAATGAGGTCATCGGTGGAACAAAAGAGGCTCAAAGGGAAGGTATTTGTGATAAGATGAAGTGGCCGGTCTGGAATTCGTGGTTGGCTTTTTGCTGGGATTGACCATATTTAGGGTGGTCAAAGTTAAAGGGAATGTACAACATTTGCTTTTGCTGCAGTTTTCAGAAATGAATGGATTTGGAGGATTAGAAAATGCGGAATAACTAATTATGAACAATTAGGAGCAGTTTTTGAAAAAAGCCAGTTTTCTCCAACGCTGGTCGGCCGACCAGCATTGGAAAAATCCCATTTCTCTTGAAAATGTCAGCACACCAGGAGCCACGATTTTACAGGATGCTTTAGACTGTCATTCCCCGACAGTCCAGTAAGGTATTTTGTGATAATTTGATCATTTCGTTTTGTGAAGTTTGCAAATGTTGTATCTTCCCTTTAAAAGTTAATTCTTTCTTTTGGAACTCTGTACAGTTTGTCTTGTTTTTGTTGAACTACATGCAACTTTTTTTCTAGGATCAGCAGAATCCGTCCTTGTCAATTCCAATGTCTGCCATTGACAATTCAAAAACACTGTACAAAGTCTTTTTGAAGTCTTTGAATTTCCTCCGTTTTTGTGGCTTCACGGTTGCATGCCTCATAGCATGGGTGGCATGGGTGGCTTGTGTGTAAAGCGCTCGCCTCTCACCAAGGTGACCACGGTTCGAATCCTGGTCGCGGATCACATGTGAGTAGAGTTGTGCGTTTGTTCTCTCCTGTACCACGAGGGTTTTTCTCCGGGCCCTCCGGTTTTCCTCCCTCTGGAAAAATCAAACACTTTCGATCTCAGGCTGTGCTCCGTGATCATAATGGGTCGATGTGGCCGGCAGCCATAGGCGCCTTTACATGTATGTGCCAGCGGCCCGACCACGTTGTAGCCGCGTCCTTCGCAATTCAGCACACCAGCTGCGAGTAAGGATGATTAGCCTCCCAAATTATTATTATTATTATTATTATTATAAAGGTTGATATTCATGTTGGTATCTTGCTAATAAAGTGCTTGATTGTACAAGGTATTATAAAGGATGCATTACATTGCTTGAGGCCATTGTGCGTTTGCATTTGGTACGTTTTCATCACTGCCGAATTTTAGCTTTAATAAGCGAAGTGCATGTACATGTACGTGTATGTTACATGTACATTGTGGGTCAGTCTATTAATTTAGTGTACCCTTTTTTATGGCCCTGTTGCATCTGACGTTTATGATTTCATAATCTGATGCCGCACTTCTTGATGCAATTGTCCTCCAACTTTCCAAGAGGGATTATGAATAGCAAACTACATGTACACTGTACCTACCCAACAGATAAAGGATTGTTTGAAGTCATTGCTAATGGTACAAATACATGTCCTTCAATGAGAAATACAAAGTGCCATGGTAAAAGGGACAGGAAAAATGTCAAACTTTGGGCCCTAAATTCATAGAATCACCCTTTTAGGTTTGGTCATTTTGGACTGGACCACATTTGTGGTCTTGTCTTTATAGTCCTTGGCAGGGGGCAAGGTCGCAGTCATTCACATTTATAAATAAATCTCTGTGATCACCCAAAAGGTGTGAATCAGTTCCCCATATGTCACTTTCAATAAGGAGTCTTAATGACCGATAGTTTGATACAACAAAAATGGGTTTGTCCAACGTTAACCCCTGGACTGGTTTTGTTGCAAAGCCATTACTGGCAACTGAGGCTGTGCCCAAAGTGGCTACGGCTTAAATTACACACACGTCTATGGTAGCCGCTGCAGCCACTTCCCATAGACTCATGTGTAATATCAAGCCATACCGAAGCCTCAGTGTGTCAATATCAGGCCCAATTTCACGGCGCTGCTTAGCACAAAAATTTGCTTAGCACAAAAAAGTTTGGCTTATAAAAGCAGGTTATTAGCCAAAAACTCCATGTGATTTTCATGCGAAGCAAACAATGGCTGAATACCAATCACAAGCAATATACATCACGCAGAGTTTTGGCTGGTAACCTGCTTTTATAAGCCAGACTTTTTTTTGTGCTAAGCAAATTTTTGTGCTTAGCAGCGCCGTGAAATTGACCCCAGGACCAAATCTCGTGGACCTGTTGGGCATAAAATATTGCTGAGCAGTTTAATCCGCTTACCAGAAATTACCTGAGCACCAGTGACAAGCAGTAGGCATCGCATGACCTTTTAGCCGGTAACTGTTTCTTGCTAAGCAGATAGTTTCTCTGCTTAACAAGTTTCTCTGCTGGGCAAGTTTCCATGGTTAGCAGCTGTGTGATAAATGGTTCTTGGTTGGGATAGATAGATTCCGGAAATGACAGCTGCCTATCAGCTCTGCGCACACACAGCTGGGGTCGCTCTGCAGCTCAGCAATGTTAGAGCCGTGGGTGGGCAATTGATTGTCTGTCACTGAATTTTACATGTCAGTCGAAAGATTAGAAAGATAAAATAAATTGAAACACTGTACACATCAAGAGTGTGGGACACGTATCATGTATGTACATGTACACGTATGTACATAAACAATTCTTTGTGCACTATTGGCTCCGTGCGCCAACAAGAGAGGGCGCTTTTTTAACACTTTTGAGAGCCCTGGGACAGGACACACTGCATGTGCGTACAATAGTGCAAAAGTGTGCACAGCTTATTTTATTCTGAACATGCAGAAAGCCATAACGTCTTCGCGTGGTGGGCGCCAGGTGTCTGCGATGCGTTTGAATGTCTCGCTCAATGGTCTCCCCAACTCTCTGTTCTTGCCTGTGATTATGTACCTTTGCACGGAGCCCTTTTAAATAGTCGCTTGTAACATTGTGCGCTGGTATTTTGGCATGGCTTGGTTTTGGCAATGGTCAAGAATGCATTGCATTGTGACTGCAACAGCAGAAATTTGTGCTAAAAAAATACCCACTCACATCAGGCAAAACTTTAGCTTTACCTACATTAAACAAATATATTTGGGTTCAAGACATACTGTACAAATCTGTAGGAAAGCAAATGCAGCCTGTAACCAGTAATTTACATGAAGGAATTTCAATGACATTGACTCTGGGTACCAGACCAAGGTGGTTGTACATGTACAGTATTTATTGTATGCATTGTAGTTATTATTTGGCTATATTGAAAACATGTGAACAAATATTCTTTGGTTACTTGTGGCATATTTCTAGGAAACACAGTTTTTTTTTAGAAATGTGTATCCGGGTGTCTGTAACAATAACAGAGGGTTCTATATTTGTCCCTATTTGTCTGTGCAGTATTCACCGACATGTACAATAAATGTTGAATTTTGTACCCCAACTTTTTGATATCCTAATTCTTTGAAAAGACCTCAAAAAGGAAATTTGTATGTCCGGCATTAAAAAAACCCCGACTTCGCACTGATTTCTTGTTCCAAAAAATAACTTAAAATGGTAAGCATTCACATTCCACATTTAGCCAGTTTGTGTATTGGTTTATTTCAGGATTAAATATACAGACAAGCCAGTATCTGTAGAAATCCTGACAAGGTTTTGCTAACTTGGAACAAAATTTCAAGAAGTAAATATATGGGAATATTTTCATGACCGCAAGTGGCATTCCCCTTTCTCCTACCATGCTTCACCCAATCCGCCAACCTCCAAAAATGCCTCTTGTCTAAACTGAATCATGATTAGACCCAAAAACCTCCCAAGTTGTTCCACATCTCGTTCATAAAAAGTTTCAAAAAGACCTGCCCGGCCTGCTAGTCAGCTGAGTTGTTTTTTTTCAAGAGTCCCTTGCATAGATGTCGTTGACTCCTTGTTCGAAAGCGACCTGTCCACAGCGTGTTTGAGACATTGAGTCCCAGAAGAAGAAGAAAAACTGCTACTATACCCTAGAGGGACAAGTGGTATTTTGAAATGTCCGTCAGGGAGTGAGGATCCCAATTGAGGTGTTTTTCTTTCGTTCATTCTCCTTTTTTCCTTCTTCTTCTTCGTCCTTGCTTTCCAGTTCTTGATCAAACTAAACGGCTGTATTGCCCCAAGGCCCGGCAAGGGTAGCATTTCCACCGATCACCTGAGAGTGCCGAGCTAGTGTCGGGGGATTTTTATTGGGTTGTCCTCAGCGTGAGGCAAGTTGTAACTTGGGGATGAGAGGCCTGCACTTCTCCTGCAGCGGCCGGTGATAGGAATTGGCAAGTTTTTTTCTGAAGCTGTAAATTGCATGGGACTTGAAGTAATTGAAAATGGCAAAAAAATTGAACAAAGTTCTCGGGAATTTAGACAGGAGAACAAAAAGTACAGTGTAGAAGGTAAAAGAAAAATCCCCCTCCCCCAAAAAATGTTAATTCTATGAAGACCTACTCCAGTTGCTGTTAATTATTCCTAAAATTTTGTGCATCTTCATGACACTTTGGAACAAATGGAACAAAATACATGTATCTGAAGACTCTGAAAAAACTTGAGTACTCTTTAAAGTGCAAACGATCCATTCAGAAATTATAACTACCTTTGTGTCAAAAGAGATTCATGACCATCAGACAAGAAAAGTTTATTTGTAAAGAAAAAGATGTTTTTATTATGTTGCCATGGCAATTATTTCAACACCAAGTGCTTTAAATCCGTCAGCTTTGTTACTGTGTAATGTACATGTACATGTACATTGTGCTTTTCACGGCACAAACCATCTAGACTCTGTTCCAGGTGATAAATGGTTTTCTGCCCTCGGAGCCAGAGGGAGCAATTTCTCTTGATGGGGAATTCTGCTCTCAGCATTGGAGGTGTCGGAGGCTAATTGCTCCGTCGAGTCCCTGCACGGAATCGATTACTCACATTCAATACATGCGCTCGATGGAGCACTCGTTGCAGAAGTAGATCGGTGTTACAGACTGGGATGTAGTATTCAAGGATTTTAGAAATTCTATGCTTTTTTTGTGGCTTCAGATTTAGGATAGTGCATTGTTCTTGTCGGCCATTTTGGGAAACCATAGCGAACGATGCAGGAAGACTTTTCAAGTTGGAGGCAAACAGTCGGCCCTATTTGCACAAACGTTGCCAATGTTGACAAGCGTTCGCATTGTTCACATAAGTGAAACGCACCGGTGGAAAGGCACATGTACTATTGTCGAGACACACAGCAAGTTTCAAGAGCTTGGGAGGATTGCCTGTCCTCATGTATAAAGACAGGTCTCCAGTCTAGGACGTTGCTTGGTTACGCGCTTTTTTTTATGTCAGAGTCCCAAATGCCCGAATTGCAAGTTTCGTCTTGCTGAACTTCCTCTGTAGACAGACTTTAAAGCCTATTGGCTTCATGCTCACAAAGGGCCAAGTAAGGGCTCATGTGGTGCAACTTCAGTGATACAGACCATGGAGAAATTATTTCTACATGTACAGACACTCTTTCTGTAGCAAAACCTTACTTGGCGGTTAATCGCCATGCACCCGTAAATTGTAAGAATGACCTATGACCCCCTCCCCTGCATTGTGTATCAAAGGTGCATCATGTTCTTCATGGTTGAGACACAGGGGCGTGACAAGTCATAATTTGGTGTGTCAAACTTCTTATGGGGTGTGTCACTTTTCCTCAGTAGGTGCATCACAATCTGTGAAAGGTGGGTCAAAAATGTTGCCAAATAGTGTCAAAACATTTGGTGCGTCACTGCTCTGACACAGTGATGTGTAGATTCCATAAAAGACTGACCTACTATTGGACACTGACAGACCATTCTCGGTGGTCATTGAGTGCCCTTATACAATTGATAGGTGCATCCATCCCAAATCTTCCAAAATCCTCTTTGCAAATTGGAGGAATTTGCAGGATTGAGGCTACATGCCAAAGTGTGTTGCTGATTTTGGAGGACGCACTGTGTCAAGGTCTTGGGCCGGACCTTCCGTGCATAAATTTAGGCCTTGATAATACTTGAAATCCTCCATACCACTCTAGGATGTCACTGGCTCTGCCTCAACATACTGACAGTGACTGCCGAAGGATTTTGGAGGATTGAGGCAGTGGTCACCCCTCCAAGGACCACACTCAAGAAATAACGGAGTATTTTGCAGGATTGAGGCTTAATGTTATTTTTACATGGGGGCAGTTGGAGGATTTTGCAGGATTGAGGTTACATCCTAGCAAAAATGCAGGGTTGTTTGTAGCAAGCCATGAAGGCGTGACAGAAGAAGAAAAGGTTGAAGTTGTCAGTTAACAAGATTACAGCATGCCCTCCACATGCCAGCGCTGTGATTCAACACTCATGTCATTGTCCAGTTCAAACTTTACACTTGCTTCACCTTGTCCTTTCAAAGCTAATTAAAGTGGATTGAAGAGTTTAGAGTGCAGGGCTCGGAAGACGTAACTGCATGTAACACGCTTAATGTACTTGAACTGATGTACACAAGCCCATAATCCCCGTGGCCTGCGAGATTGGATTAACGGGCTTAAGTTGGTCCATGTGACCATTGAATGAGTCACGAGGGGGCAAGGACCGCAGAAGAACTCTTTATTGGGACGGAGCAATGTTCACATTTTTTCTCCAGCCAATTTCTGTCCTGAACATGCGCTGAATATTAACATGACTTTTTGCTCTTTTTGTGCCGATTGTAGCACATGAAGCAGAAGTTGTGGTAGTGCGCTTGTACAGAAGCGGTATTTACTATTAGCAGTGGATGGTACTGCTAGTACCCCTGATCGTCATGCCAATGATTATTTCTGAACCTTCTCAATTTATATACTCTTGCATGGATGCATAGCTTTGCAGCATGCGAAACACTAGACTGTAATAGACCTGAACGCAACTCAGTTTTTGGTCTTTGAAACCAAATTCTGCAATTTTTGGGGGTTTCAAATTCCTGAACGTTGTTCCAGTCTAAAATCAGGACCACTTTAAATGATGCATTTCCAAGTGCATGCAAAAATGCAACCACCAAAAAAAAAACCTATTTCTGCCCCATGTATTTGTACATAATTCAATTTTCAATGTTATATACAGAAAGCACGCCTGCCCTAAATGCAGGAAATGCCACCAAATTTCTAAACTTGCAGAAGTGCTGAACTTGTACGTACCGGTAGATGTACCCCTTGCACAGACGTCACACCCCTAACAACCCCCCCCCCCTAACGACCCCCCCCCCCTTACAGCCCCCCACCCCCTTTTTCAAGGTGCTATATATATCCCTCTGGAGACCCTTCCTTCATTTCCTCTAGGATATCGCTCACAGGTGTGCGTTTCAGGCAGGCAGTTACTGCAGGAAAATCAAATGCAGCTGTGTTGTGGTCTCATTCAGAAATTGGTTTTTCTTTCCAGTGTATATATACTGACTGTTTCAGCCTGGGGCATTTTTGTGACATCTATCCTTTGTTCTTTGTGTCCAGGTGCAATGCACCGTAAAATAATGGGGGAAATGCAAGGAGAGAGTGAGCAAATATGGAATGGTGAACAGAAAATAAAGAATATCTGATGCAAGTTGGCATTGTTTGCAGGAGTTGAGTCTGTCAAGTCATTTCTTAAAGGAAATTTTCGGAACTTGGTGTGCTAGTCATACTTATGCATAAATCTACTACGTTGTTATTAAAGCACTTGGTATCGATCAGTGATTTAACAATCCTGAAAACTGCTATCACGTATGAAATTAGCGGTGGAATTTCTGATAGTGAGGATTTCCCCATCTGCTCATTATCTCCCCCACGATGCTGAAATTCCAGGCCAAGTTCGGGCAAGGACCATTAGTCGACTACCGGTAGTGGTTGATTTGTGACGTACCTTACGCCTGCGCACTGATAGCAACGTGTGAACGTCTCTAGTCAAACGCTGGTCAAAATGTCATCGCAAAACTTCTGGATCCTGGCTCTCTGCTAGCGATATGAATGCGCGCGGCTATTGGTTACCAGCGAAGCAACCAACCCCAGTAGGCTGGTTCCAAATAGTCAACTAGCGTAGTCAACCACTGTCGACTAGACAGAGTTCAGGCAAACGTTAGTTAACCATTGGTCAACTATAGTCCTTGCACGAACTTGGCCTCAGAAGTACCGGTACTGTGGAATCCAGAATGAAGTCTAAACAAGGGCCAAGTCGAGTCTAGATATAATTTTTTGTTTTCAATTTTAGTTTTGGAATCATAAAAAAATCTCTTGTTTTAAAAGTACCCATTCCTTTACATTCATTTTCTGTCTCTCCTTTGTTTTTTTCTTATTAGAGAATTTTCCAGACAGCATCCAGTCACGGCCCCTCCCCAGCACCCCGTCGCACGGCCCGGTGGACCTCCCGCGATGGAACTCAAGCGAGGAGCTGAATGCCCAGGATGACCCCGAGCTCTTCGTGGTGCTCTACGACTTCAGTGGAAGCGGGGAGAACCAACTCAATGTTCGCAAAGGTACACCACATCAGTTGTTTTTTCTTCTTTTTTTCTTTTCTTTAAATGTTAACTTAAAAAACAGCACGCTGGTTTTAAAACTTAACAGGTTTGAACACTTCAAAACCAGCAAATAGACGATCCACTAAGCCCCGCCCCATGGTTTTTTGGACCAATCACAGCCGTGCTTAATGTCCAACATGCGTGCATGTGCGGTTGTGCGCACATGACATGCATGAACAGTATGGCGTTTGAAAGGCTCGCATATTGTTGCACAGTGTGTGGGGCCTAACAGATTGGTCTATTCTTGGTTCCATTCAAGTTTTCTCGAAAAGTTACTTGACAAATCGATCCTTCGTAACACATGAAAAATAATGTAAGAATAATTGCAGATGATGCTACCTCGTTACTAAAATCAGTAAAATCAAATTTAAATGTAACACGAAATTTTGGCAAACGTAAGATTAAGTTGTCAAATATTTTAACCTCACAGAATCAATAGAAGAGAAACCAATATGAAAACAAAGGGACGTCTTAGCTAATTGTCATAACTCTTGACAATATAAACATGCCACAACATTAACTTCAAGTTTCTGCGCTATTAACGTGACACACTTTCAAACATTTATTCATGGCAGTGGAGATAAAAAGTACGCAAATCTCTTTCGTAACCAGACGTCTGTAACTGCTAGCGTTTATATTTTTGGCATGTTGTATCTTTGACTTCTTTCAAATTCTTCTTTCGGACAAGATCACCTATCACAATGACCCAGGGCCCCCCCCCCTCCCAACCCCTCCCAGGAAAGACGTACAGAAACCCTGCCCTCTGACGTCGCTGGTAACGGTTGCCGCGGAAACCAATTAAGCTTCATATCCACAGGATGTTTCTGCTTTTTGCTTTTCCCCCCTCGACAACGTCTGGATCACGGAGTCCACTAATTTTAGCCTCGGCTTAATTAATCGGCGTGATTTGGTTCTATTTCAGGACAAAGTGAAAGTTTTCGTTCGGACTTGGATTCTGTTGGATTATGCGATTGACCTTGGATAAGCGAATTGTAATGTTTTGCAGCTGGACGTGCAACAACGTAATACATTTTTCATCAGTGGGCGGGGGTGTCTCCATCGCATCCGTAATTAAGTTTCAGACTGGTGTGGAGTGGTACTAAAGTACACAATTCCTGTTGTGAGGACAGAGAGACAGGAATATCAAATAACGTCCTAAGAGGTTACTGTTCGTTCATATAATTATAAAGGCCCGGGCAACTCCCAACATTTTTTTGAATCGGTTCCGATTCTCCCCCCGGATACAAACGGTTTCATTCAAATAGAGCAATGAAACTTACGTCACAAATATCCAAAATGAGCTACAGTAGTGAATGACTAATGCAAGAGATGCAGTCTCTCTCGTTAACTTGCTCATTCACCTCATAAAAGGTAGCGATTCTTTAGAAAAGTTGTTCTTCACATTGATTTGTACATGTGTTGCTATCCGTTATGTTTAGTTCTAGCATCAGTGTCAGACATGTTGTATCCAGCTGTCTAAAATGTTGCTTAAGGGTAGAGTTTTCCCAACAAATTTAGTGACCTTGAGAGCATGCCAACAAAAATGAGCCACTTCTCAACTCGCAATAAAACAAATCTCCATCTGACAGGGGCCTGTCAACTCTGGCGTAGTACTCAACTAGCTCATCAGTTCATTTCCTCCATACACTCACCGATCATAGATGTGAAGATTTCAGAGGCCCCTCGTTCACACCCAAGCAGAAAGGAACTTTTGGGGGGAGTTGCTTGACCTAGGCTAACCCCTCTGTCAGGATTATTGTCAATCGATTGGTTGAGACAAGTGCCCTGTCTCCTCCCTCCCCCATTGCCAACTCGGTTGAATCTCAGTGTTTTTTTGGTAGGGTAGACTTGTTCGAGAGTCAGGTTGAACTCATACGAGATGAAGAGTCCAGAAATGAACTCAATATCAAGGGCCGTTAGAATTTGGTGATTTGGGGAATGTTGTGGTCTACCTTGTGGATTGGACCCTAAGAACTTTTCTCTACTGAAGTACTTGCATTAAATCATTTGAGAATTGCCCCACAAACAAAGACCTGGACAGATCGTGAGACTGCCCAATATTGGGCTGGATAGCTCAGTTACGAGATCGCTGGTACAGTGTTGCAGAAGTTGCAGATTCAAAAACAGTGCCAGTCAATTTCTGTGTCAAATTGATATTGATTTCACTATTAAGTTCCTGTGAAATAAGACCATAAATATTCATGCGCCATTTCAATTGAAATTCCATACATATTGACTTTGGGCAAAGCATTTGTCGGTCACACAGATATTAATCTTAGGACTCTATCAATCACTACTGAACAATAAATATACGTTGTGAAAACCACACTCCAAGTACCATTGGAATTTAAAAAAAAACTTGCATGGTGTGCTAAGTGAAACTGTGCCCACCCCGATCCTCATTGTTGGTGGCCCCACTTTTGAATTCTCTGACCAACTGGGCTGTTGATATTCCTCACTTAGCGCTTAGTCTCCAGTAAACTTTGGAACGTGAACGTTCTAATCCCAGTTACCTGACCTACTTCTGAGCGACACACTTTTCAAGACAAACTAGGCTGACAGGGAGTTGTCGTCAGCTCATGTTTGTCACCCCAGAGGGTTAGAATTCTGTCATTAAGAACATCGCTGCTTTCCGGTCTCCGAAGTGTTCAGCAGCGGGCGGTTAAAAAAAGAAGGAAGATTGCGTCATCATGGTTGGAAGTAATACGATTGGGGAAATGGGTCTCTACTCAGATGCGATGTTTGGCACATTTTATACAACTATTAAAACATGCTTTGTAGGATGCAGCTGTGAATGTTTCCACAATACACGTATTTAGTTTCAAGCCTTGCTCCAAAATAGCTTTCCTTTCTTTATCCCATGGGGTAGTTTGTTGTACTTTTACTAGTAAGTGTCAAGTTCAAATAACCTGTGGAATTCTTGAAGTCTTTTTTCTTAGGGCTCACGTTGTCAAACAGGTTGGATGCAATATTTTATCAATTCTGTTGTGTATACCTGTAGCTCTTATTTGCGTACAACGTATGTTGTGCGTCAGGTACAAAAAAATGTTGATACAAAACTGAAGTTCTTCTTTTTTTTTCAAATATTAAAGAAAATTTTTTTAGGAGCAATTGTGTTAAAATTATATGAAATAAGCATTCATCAACCTGAAAGAATTCGATCTACTCCTATTATAACCGATTTTCATGATTTTCTTGTGAATTAAGTTCATTTGAAAAAAAAAAAGTATTGATTTGGGACTTGGATTAGAAGCCTCTGCATTGGTAGTAGTTGTTTGGTTGGTTTGTTTTGTCCTTCCTTTTGAAAATGCATCTTTTGTTTTTGTTTGGCAGATGAGAATGTGCGCATCATCTCCTACAACAAGAACGGCGAATGGTGCGAAGCCAAGAAGACGTCCAACGGCAAGTCAGGCTGGGTGCCTTCCAGCTACGTCACCCCCGTCAGCAGTCTAGAGAAGCACTCGTGGTACCACGGCCCCATCTCCCGCACCGCGGCCGAGTACTTGCTCAGCAGCGGCATAGACGGCAGCTTCCTGGTCCGTGACAGCGAGAGCAGCCCAGGCCAGCTGTCCATCTCGCTGCGCTTCGCTGGGAGGGTGTACCACTATCGGATCAACCACTCCCCAGATCTGACCAAGGTAGATTCATAAGTCTCGATCGAGAGTGGGTTTGGATTTAAGTTGTTCCTCTAATGCAAAAAAAACCCAAAATGTGAAGCCGCAGTGGTGGCAGAGGGTGCTATCACCAAGATAAATTAAGTCTGGAGAATTGTGTTACTAGGATCAAAGATATTCTGAGCATAAATTCAAATTTGGATATTCTCCGATTGTTGATGATTTTATCAGTGTATCAGTAATACCGTGGGAACAAATATCGACTTCGAAAAAAGTCAGTAGTGGCGGGATTCAAATTCTGATTTTTTTTAACACTCAGTTTGAGTTCCACTTTTCGGGTTATATTGTGGAAACCGGATATTTGAAACCAACCTTTAAAAAAATCAGGTCTTTCATTTTTTGGGACACATGCTAAACAAAATAACTTTCTCCATCATCCTCCAATTTTCTCAATAGTCTCTGATTGTGACCACATTCTTTCAGTGGTGTTTATAGATAGCGTGCCCATTTCGGGCGATTCACAATGTAGTGCGCCACCAAGAGTTTGCCATGAAGAGTCCATTTTTCAAGTTTCCGGTCGACAAAACACGGCCCATTTGAATGAGTGTCAGTAGACAACTTGAGCTAATTTGTTATATATTGGGGTATAGCGTTCTGCCACCTTACAAAAAACACCATATTGATAAAATGAAAAGGGCAAACAGATCCTTGAATCATACGCTTGGAAACTACTGACCGGAAAAACTAACAATTTCAAATGTCCCGCGCTGCGAATTTGTCGACCATCTCCCACAATGCACTGGGAAAAATGAACTCTCCATGGCGAACTCTTGGTGGCACACTGCATTGTGAATCGCCCGAATTCCCACACATGTTTTCAACATGACCGCTCTGGAGTGTTTTGGTAAAGTCCCAGTGGTCATCGAATCCCACAAACTATACCCAGTCATTGGGAGGGCATTACATGCGGCACCTCACTCGTCACTCTTTGTTGGCGTGACTGTGAGCTGAATGGGAGCTTCTGGTAAAATCGGATAACCGTTATTCCGTTGAAGGCAAGGTACAGAGAGTGGTACCAGTGCAACAATTTGAATTACGTGAGGCTTGAAATTAAACCCCAAAACAAAGATGAAGAAACTTAAGGGTTTTTCATCACTTAGTTGAAATCATCAAATAATTTTAATTTCTCTCTCTCTCTCTTAGTTCTTTGTCACTAACGAGAGCCAGTTCCCGACCGTAGCCGAGCTGGTCCACCACCATTCCAAGGACGCCGACGGCCTGATCACCACGCTACGGTTCCCTGCGGCCAAGACCAACAAGCCAACGATCTACGGCGTCTCACCGCAGCCAGACGAGTGGGAGATTGAGCGGACAGACATCTCCATGAGGAACAAGCTGGGCGGGGGGCAGTACGGGGAGGTGTACGAGGCTGTCTGGAAGAAGCACAGCAAGATCGTGGCAGTCAAGACAGTCAGGGTACGTTGAAACTTTAAAAAAAAAATGAAATTGTGGAGAAATAATCACCTGACTTGGATAGCAACTTAACTCTTTCAGTGCCAGCGAAATTTGAAAAGTTTAACCCTAAAGTGCCCAACTTCGAGCGTTTTTGTTAATTGTTCGAAATTCTGTAAAAAAAAAAAGTAAATAAGTTTTACTCACTAAATTTGTTGTTGTTGCTCTCTGGTATATCCTTGATATATTGGAAAGTCAAAAGTAGTCACAAACATACTGATACACCCTGAAACACTGGCCTGAACACAGGGGAATTCCGCACTTTTTGCAGAAAATACGAGATTTAGTGCTGCGCCCTCTCGCAAGAACTCGAATGAAAAAATAAATACAGGTCGTTCATGCATGAAAATGGTACCATTAGAAAGAGCGAGAGCGCCCCCTTTAGATAACATATTTACTCTACCTCATACATGTACGAGGTTTGGCAATTTAAGTACGAACATTTACGAACATTACTTCGTACATGTACGAGGTTGGCACTTTTGTACTAACAAATATACCTCGTACATGTACGAGTTTGGCACTGAAAGAGTTAACAGCTGGTCAGTCATTTCATAAATTTACAGTCATCAATATTTCAATGTTTTAGTTGAGTCTTTCACAAGTCCATTAAAAACTCCAGTCACAAATCACATGTCAGGGTACAGACAAGCTTTGGAATTGTTTTAGGGCAAAACTGAAATTGCGGAGAAAAAAAAAATTGACTCGAAGATGGCTTGAAAACCATCAGGTGATCAAATCAGTTCACAAACACAAATCGTAAATATTTCAGTGATGTAGTGAAGGCAATCACAAGTCTTGTGATGAGTTACAGAGGATTAACATTAGCAAGGGAATGCCTTTGCTACACTTCGCCTGACTTGACTTGGGATCAGATTACTTGTGATGGACTTGTGATGCATGCTGCTACAACAAAGAAATATTTTGTCGAAGTCCGCAGTATGTCAGTTCGACTTTTTTGGAAAGCCATGAAAATGAACTTTAGGCCATAGAGTTTCTTTGACAAACATCAGCTGAAGTAACAAGTGGTCACCAGTCAAATTCCAATTCTGCATAATGCTTTTAGTTGGTACTCGGAGAGATTCTTCTCACCATATTTTAAAAAAAAATAAAATAAGTGACATTTACTGCTGATATTAACACATATATCTAGCACAAAAGCAAAATTTTAAAAAGCGGTAAGTTGAGGTTAAACTACGAGGTACCCCATACAACACTGTAAAACCTCATTGAAACTAGAGGTGAACCTGGAGATAACACCTGTTGAGTTTTGCATTCTCCCCTTACAGCATTTAATGGAGGCTATACATCCTCAGATATGCAAAACATAATTTCTACAAAGAATTTTTGTTTTCCTACTTAGGAAGAGAATATGAGAGTGGACGAGTTTTTGCGAGAGGCAGCGGTCATGAAGACGATCAAGCATCCCAATTTGGTCCAGCTACTAGGTAAGGCCACGTCTGAATTACATGGTTACGGCTAGAAATTACACACGAGTCTATGGGTTGTGGCTGTAGCCACTACTAAATAGAGGCTCTGCTTACTGTGGATTCTGTGCATGTAAAGTAGATGGTGCATTTTGACAGCTTACGAGAGCTCTTGGGAGGGATACATCGTTTGCCCTGACACACAGGAATAGAGGTTGGCGCACATAAAGAATGCTATGATCCAGTGGCTATGGTGTGTGACTCATGTATGATGGTACATGGGTTCGAACCCTGTCAGGAACATGGTGTTTGTGCCCTCAGGCAAGACACCTAACTACAATTGCCTCTCTCCACCCGGGAGTATGCATGGGTACCTGTGAGGGTAGAGGACCAAATGTGCGCTGATATTGGCTGCCGCGTGGTCTCTTGGCCTCTTGGCCTGATGAACGGGTGAATAATGTAAAGTGCTTTGAGATTGTTGATACGATGGAAAGCGCTATATAAGCGCTGTAATTTTATTATTTACGTATGGTGTACGCACAACTAATTTCTCAAGTGCCAGCACTTGAAGCAGAGAATGGTGATCATAAGCAAATTTTGTGGTTAGCAGGCCATGCATTTTGAACTTTTTAAATACAGATTATTATCTGTAATAGATATCCGGTGATTTCATCGTGTAGAGGAGGTGATGTAGAAAATGGGTAAGCACCAAATTTCAGAGCTTTTGATGCAGCACAAAATTGTGGACACAAGCTGCGCAGAATTGTGGGGCTAGCAGAGCGATGAAATTGGACTGTACCATTGTGAGTAAAAGTCACCATGTAATAACTAAGGATTCCGTGCTAACGTTTAAGTTCAAAATGCTTATCACGGGCTCAGTATACTGCTTTCAAGTTTTCAACAAGTTTGTTCTTTCCCCCGCAGGCGTATGCACCCGTGAGCCCCCCTTCTACATCATCACTGAGTTCATGCAGCACGGCAATCTCTTGGAGTACCTCAGGGAGAATGATGACACCACACTGCCGGCCGTCACGCTGCTCTACATGGCCTCCCAGGTGGCCTCCGCCATGTGCTACTTGGAGTCCAAGAGCTTCATTCACAGGTCAGTCCTCAACCCCCAACCCCTCATCTTTACCCCCCCCCCCCAACCCCCATGCCCATCCCCCACCCCCATCCCCCCCACTCCCCACCCCCACTCCCCACCCCCACTCCCGTGAGCCCTGGCTTTGCTTCTAATTTAAAAAATTGTCGGTACAACATTGATGAAAGACATTAGTCGTAACAGGATTCGAACTTGTGACCTCTGGAACACCGTACCATCATCCTACCATCTTGAGCTACCCATTCCTATGTTGACAATCTCCCAATTTCTCCATATCATTTTTCTTCCCCCTCCCAGGGATCTGGCAGCGAGGAACTGCCTGCTGGGCGACAACCACCTGGTCAAGGTGGCTGATTTTGGCCTGGCCAGGATCGTGAGCGGTGACATCTACACGGCCCAGGCCGGGGCCAAGTTCCCCATCAAGTGGACAGCCCCGGAGAGCCTGGCTTACAACAAGTTCTCCAACAAGTCGGACATATGGGGTGAGTGGGCGCAAGGCTCAAGTTGAGATTCTTTCTATTCTCTCATAGGGCTTGACCAAGATGAGTTTGAAGACCAGCTGAGTGTGCACAGACCTGCGTCTTTGTAAGGAGAATGCTAGTCTTACTCTAAGACTGGATTTGAATTTGATTTTCCTCATACAGCTGGTCTATGACAGCAAAGTCTGTCACGAGCCAATATGGTCCATCAGGCCAACATTTATCTCTGGTTTCAGTAGCATGAAACGACTGAGAATATTTCTATTCCCCCTGGATGGGATGCTAGTCCATCGCAGGTTGCTTCCCAGCTAATGCCAGTACACATTCATACTCCTGGGTGGAGAGAGGCTTGCCCAAGGACACAACACATTGTCAGCAGCTGGATTGGAACCCCTTACCCTCTGATCATGAGTCACAAACCCTAACCACTAGGCCACACTTCCCCTTGGTTATCAAAGGTACTTTGGCAGTGCTACCCAGGAAATTCTGAGCGTACCTCCCGCATACATTACCTTGAATATATCACTTAAAGGTATGCTCGGACTTTCCTGGGTAGCACTGCCAAAGTTCCTAAGACTTGATTTGATTCAACTTGTTGATGGCAACCTCTTCCGCCGCGGCGGTGCTTTACCTCGCTTGTTATAGGGACTGGCTGTTTTAGGGGAATTTCCTAATCATCTTGGATCACAACTGAAAATGGACACATGGTTGAAATGTCGCCAGAGCGTCCCCTGATAACCGTAAAAATTTGCATAAGATACTTTGGTAGCAGATCACAATGTATGCAAGTTATGTATGGAGTCTAGTCCCTCCATATTGTTCAAAACAAATACTGATTTAATACAGCACATCTCATTCCTATCTTTCATGTTTGTTGGAGAGTGTCTAGAATTTAACAAGAGCTCCGGTGAACTTTACAAACTCAGAATATACCTCCAAACCTTGAAAAACTTGAGGGTTTACCTCTCAATATTTGTTAAAGATTTTTGTATTCAGGATTATTTTTCCAGTGGGTAAATTGGACTCTAAGACTGTTTGGACAAAATGAATCAAATAATTCATTTCAAGGTGTCACAAATTTCTTTATTTGTCTCCGAATGATATGTCTGATTTCAGTAATGTCCCCCTCGGATCTGATTCTCAATTCAATTGACCATGATTGTTCTCCTTTATCCAGCCTTCGGTATCTTACTTTGGGAGATTGCCACTTATGGCAGCTCTCCGTACCCTGGCGTGGAGCTCCAGCACGTCTACGAGAAGCTAGAGCGAGGCTACCGGATGGAGCGGCCCGAGGGCTGCCCGGCAGACGTCTACAAACTCATGCTCAAGTGCTGGGAGTGGAGCGCAGCTGAGCGGCCAGACTTCATCGGCATCCAGGAGGAGATGAACAACATGTTTCAGAACTCCAGCATCAGCGAGGAGGTGGAGAAGTCCTTACACCGGCGACGGGAGCCACCGTTGCTTCCAACGAAGAACAGGAGCAGCAGGAAGGGGAGCGGAGGAGGAGGCGGGGGAGGGTCTGAGGGGGCGGAGCATCATGGCAGAGGAGGGGGCAAGGAGGCCCCTGGCGATAGCACCAGTAGGTCACGCTCGTAGGTTTGCCCTTGCTCTTGCACTGCTTTCACTAACTTCCTGGCAAGGACTAAGTGCTGTGTTTTGGGACGGGGAAGATGCTCATGTCGATCAAAGACTCTTTCAGTTCCTGCAGGAAATTTGCATGTAGATGATGCTTTGTGACCCACTAACTAGTGAAGGTCATATTGTTCACAAGAATTGGTGCCCTGCACATTTGGTGCAGAGGTACATGACACTTTGTTTTGTATATGCAATGTGCCGAACCTGGGATGGGTTCCACTTACGTCAACAACGCTACCGCTTGTCAGTGTTGGCAAGGTGGCAGTTGCAGATTCTAGAGGGGACATATGTGATGTGATCAAGCTAAATGAGTCGTTTGTCGACCCTGGTCAAAAAAAGTTTATTACAGATTTGAAACGAGCACAATCTCAGCATTTCTGCTGTGAAAACCGCATGCTGATGCCATTTTTAGGTCAAAAATTATGGAAGTCGGAACACCAAGAGATGTGATGAAGTGATGTGATGAAGTTGCCCTATTTTGGCCTGTATCTCCAAATGAAAGTTCCCAACAAACGACTCATTTAGCTTGATCGCATCACATATCATGGACAAATTGGAAAGATAAGATTGGAAGGTTTGCATGGTGAAGGTCGCAATAAGATAAAAATGTACGGTAGCACCCTGTGACAAATCTTTTTTATGAGTTTGTGAGGTTCTGAAAAGAACCGGGGGAACTCAACGTTTCAGACGGTATGCTCTGCCCGTCGTCAGGAAACTTGAAAATCCGAGTCTGTGAGAAATTGAAAATCTGAGTCCCCTGATGACGGGCAGAGTGTACTGTCCGAAGCATTGAGTTTCCCCCGGTTCTTTTGAGAACCTCACGAACTCACAAAAGAGATTTGTCACATGGTGCTACGGTACTGTAAATCTTATTGACAAATTGGAACTTAAACAACTTTTTTTCTTGGGGGGGGGGCACAAAGCAGCACTAGTCCTTGCCATTCCTACTAACATTTTCATCTGTTAATCTGACAACTGTCTGTAGTCTCATTATTTGTATTCTTTGTGATTCATAATCTTATATATTCACTGACTTCTTTCCAATGTGTTCTCAGCATTGTGGAGTGCGTGTGTGTAAGCGTATGAACAACTTAAAACCCCAAAAAACGATTCCAAGAATCGCATTGTTTTGAAAGAGACTCAGTATTTTTAAGTTGTACACATACAAAAATGAGTCAGATTTGAACGACAGGCCTTTCCATATGACTCACCAAAACACTTGCTCCTCCAGTACTGCATGTAATTTGCATGCATTTGGCCTCTAGATCACGGAAAAGAGATCCGAAGTTGTGCGACTTAAAGGCTTGTAGGATCATTTGCATTTACCCCAAAAGTAACCTTCCAAATTATTAATAAAAAGCTTACTTGGATTAGAGATCGTACTGGTACTAAACACCCCGTGAAATTATTCCGTCTGGCTTGCTGTCATTTAGAAGAAATCAAGAAATGTAGGTGATTTCCAACCATCAGTCAATTGACTGATGATTTTTTTTTTTTTTAATAAAGAGTGATCGAAGGGTTGTGCATGGTGTTTTCACTGTTTTCTTGGAAAGTGTAGCATCCACTGAGGTTTTGAACATTCTTCTTTGGATTTTGAGTGGTGTTATTGGAAACGAACAAAATGCACGAACAGCAACGTGATCCTATATCCGCTCCGTTCACAAGTACCCCCTCACTGGCAAAGAGAGTACAGTTGGGGGTGACCAACAGACGCCATCTTGCCTGACTGCAATTTTGCCGTGACACGCGGCCGGCCGGCCGTACCAGTACCACTACATGTACATAATACGAATCCCCTGGTGAACATGCGTTACACACAAGGAACGGTGCGCGTCAACCAGCTAAATGTCCCGCCCATGGGACGTCGTTGCTAGGTAAAAGGGCGCCCTCTTTCGTTGGTGCACGGAGCCCATATACCTTCTATTAAATCTGTGATATCCAGGGTTAAAATTCCAGTACTTTCCTCATTTGTTAGCATACAGAATCTTAAACCTGTAAAAAGTGGCCTTTTGAGCAAATAAGCAAGTTACAATGCAGTCAATGTATACGCTCATCACCTCTAGAGGGCGCCATTCAAAGGCAATACATTGTTTCACCATATACACACACACAAATCAATAGGCCCAAGACATAATGACGTCATGTTTCGTTTACATGTACGCTTTTCCTGTGGGCGCCAGGTGGGGCAAGTGCCACCAAGTGCGCATCTAAGAAAGCGCACATGTAAACAAAGCGTGACATCATAATGTCTCAGGTTTTTCTGCTGCTCTGTTAGGGAAAATTGAATCAAATTAGGTTTTGCCCTTCACCGACGTATAACATTGTATACACAGTGTGTTACCTCCCGAGTGAAAGTTGGAAAAAAATCACTTTCCATCTTATGAATAGGGAAAATTGCAAAATTAAACTTGAGGTTGAGCCCGGAGTTATCCTTTAAAACTCCTCACTACCTCAAAAAAATCTTGAGGTTAACCTCTAGTTACTGCCTCTTTTATTTTGCATTCTTTCCTTGCAGGACTCGTTCACATTTGTGTAACTGCTAAATTTCTACCATTAGTTTAAAATCTCCTGGCTCTTCAGCCTCATTGATTTCAATCTCTATCTCAAAATTCATTTAGGTAAATGAATTTCAGAGAGTTTTTGATAGTCAGTTGGCTTTTGGTGATAAGTGCAGTGGAAAATAAACCTACAGTCACAGAAATTAATTTGATGACAGGAAAATGCCGAGAAATCAATTACCTTAAATGGTTTTTTGCATGTGGTGAATGTTTGCATGAAGGAGTTTGAAGAAGTTTATTCTTCCTTCCCCCCCCCCCTTACTCTTTTCTTAGTTTTGCATGGCTGTGAATCTATCATGCCTTCTCCTAATTCCCTCTGAGTGCTGTACTTTGTTTGATGCTCGCTTCCTTCTCGAACTGTCACTAAGCATTAAAAATCCATCTTGTTTGCAAACCATTGCTAGGCGAAATTTATTAAAAATCAAGGACGTCTGTACCTTTTTTCCGTTCATACCTTTGAGGCTGCTCTCATTTTTGGTAAAGAAAAACAGTCTTTGAAGAACCAGAAAAGCTAAAACTGCATTCCAAATCAACTCATTTTCAGCAACCATTAACCTTTTTTCATTTGGCCTCAAGCTTCATCATCTTCATCGTCATATTCAAATGTTTTTGTGACTGAGTTTCAGTCCAATCTCTGTCCATTATACTGCATGAGAATTCCTTTAGTTGGCAAAGCCACACCCTCTAAAGCTACCAGTCTTTTTGGCTAAATTTGTTTCAAATCTCATATCTTTTAAAGTTTGATATGTTACTAAAATATGATTCTTTGCACCCTTCATTTAATCTGCACGTTTTATTATTTTTCTAACCATTATTTCACTTTATAATGCGCTGCTTTACGCCAAAGTTATCAGAAGGCAATTTATTTTTCAAACAAATGTTTTGTTTATTTTGATGAGACTTAGGTGATTGTAATCGTTTTAGTTAAAAGCTCTTTTCTTTTAAAGATTTTTCTTTAAGGGATTGCACTTATTTTGCAGATGTGAATGCTAACCTCAGTTAAAAATTATGGAATTCATTTTCCAGATATTTCTAAAGTTTCAACTTCCTGAATAGTTTTCATCAAATTTGTTAGCAAAATGGTAACTCTATTCAAACTTTATTCAGTTATGTTTTGAGAGATCTTAAATCTAGACAAAATCATGATATAAGGTGAAATTATTAATTGCGCAATTTGTTTTTACATTTTGCTCACAGAACAAAGACAAAGCCCTCAAAACTCCCCCGAACATAATCGGAAGAAGCTTCCCTTCAAGCTCCCTAACCTTCCCCGCAAGAAGACCGACCGACCCAAACAGCAAGACCAAGGCACCCACCACCACCAGCAGCAGCAGCAGCATCACCCCCATCACCACCATCCCCCAGACAGGCAGATCAGCTCAACTGAGGAGGATGCCTCCACAAGAGGCCATCACATCAACCACCAGGAGGTCCCCGAGAAGCCCCGTCGTGGCTCGCCGATTCATCGGCAGGAGAATGGAACCACCCGTCTCCACGATACTGTACACCAGGAGCTGAACTCGTGCTTGCACAACTCCTCCCAGTCCCACGGCCAGACTAGCTCCGAGAGTGGCGGGGACAATAGCGGAGGCTCGGGCCAGAATGTGCGCGTTGCGCTCAGGCCTCCCATCAATGGGCGCAAGAAACCTCGCAAGGAGAGGAAGAAGAGTGCTGATGAAGCCCTGATAGAGGAGCAAGACGGACCCTTTCCAATCCCGCGATCCTCCTCGTCAAGCCCAACCTGCGAGCGCAAACCCAGGAAGACCGAAGCACTGCCAGAGGTGACAGAGGAACATACCATGAGGCGCAAGGCTCTCAAACCTCCCCCAAAATTGGACATCAGGCACCGAGATCTCACCCAGGAGACAGACAATGCCAAAGAGCAGCTGGCTAAGACCAAATCGCTACCCTACTCCAAGAAAAACACCCTGCCGCCTCCCCCGACAAGCCCAGTGTTGAGCCCCGAACCGGAGAGCCCCAGGGGAACTCTGCCCAATTATGGAACAAGGACCCGGGATAAGGGTAAGCTTTCCCGCCCGACTGTGCCACCCCCTGCGCCCCCTGCCGACGCGGTGACATCACCTTCGTCAGAATCCAGTCCAAGTCCCCACGGCTCTCCTAGCAAATCCTCCCAAGTGACATCCTCCTCCTCATCAAACAAACCAACCCCGTTATCCCCCAAACCCCAAATCATAGGACCTAAGCCCATTCTCAGTCCTAAACCCGACCTGACCAGCCCGAAATACCAGCAGCAGACGGCTCTGGTGCCCCCAAAGCCCCAGAAGCGGACCTCCATCCAAACAAAGCCCCTGTCTGGACAGACGGAAAATTCTACCAAGGTAGGACCGATCTCCAAATCATTCATCCTCCAGCTCTCCGATTCCCTCAGCTTCAAAGCGGACTCCATCCAGGACCACCGGGAATTTGGCCGGTGTAGTGATCTCTGCGCGGACCTGGAGATCTTTTACAGTACATGCATCAAGTACCTGGAATCGCTGCCCGTCCGGATGCGCTTCTCGGTCCGGGAACACTTGAGTGCGCTAGACACGCACGTGCAAAACTTGAAAATGAAGACGACGACGGGCTCCGACAGCCAGCTGGGGTCAATCCTCAGCGACGTCCAAAAACAGATGGAGGAGATAAGGTCCCTGATTCAACGATAGCTCCCTCTTGGGAGATTGTATAGTATATCATTAATATCTTATAGCTCTTTACAATGTGCTCTTTCGTATTTCAGGCATTGTTGATGATGTCTGTGTATAAACACTTCGAAGTATTTCATTCCCTACACATGCCTTCTACAATGAATTTTAAAAAAAATGGCACCTCACATGGAAAAACATGATTATTTCTCAATTTCAAAATATCAGTGTTAAGCCTCGCTAAATGTCCTTCAAAAACTTGCAAGTGAGAGAGTTTAGTCTACCTAAGCTCCAACTTGTCTGAGTACCTCAGTTATTTTAAGTCCTTAATCCTTGCATGAGCTGGGAATGCTATCGTCCAGAAAGGGTTTTGCCATCTGCAAGATGTTTGGTGGGATATGCTGGTAAGCTTAACAGCTTATTGTACCACCTTGGGTCAAAATAGCAAGAGTTTGCTGTCACAGGAGCAGCAAAAATTCCTAATAATTGTTTTCATTTTGAAGTGTAAATTGTGGTGACTCTGTATTAAAGACAAGACAACAAAATGGATTTGATATATGAGGCTACTTTTTAAATTGCGTGTGGGGAGGCACATGCCCTCTGTACTCAAGAGGCTGATGTATTACGCATGTATATGAATAGCTTTAAACGTTCAGAACATTGTTATCAAACAATCAGCAATTTGAATGTGGTTCACTTTATCCTGTGATACATTCTAAGGAAACTATGGTGACTGCGGTTTGTTAGAAAAGGAACTTAAAGTTGCAACCAGACGTCTTGCAGATGGGAAACCCTTGCATAAATTGACTGTTTCTTGACCTAGAGTTAACCGTGATCTCTTAGATCCTTCGAAATGCACCAAGAGGTTTTCCAGGAGTTTGCAGGATTTAGGAAGTTAGTCCACTTGCAACTTCAATCCCAAATGGTAAACCTTTGGTTTCCTGCATAATGGTGGGTTTTGTAGGATTGAGGAAGGTTTCTAGCAAAAACATTTAAAGATTTTGTTAATTTCTTTTCCACCCAGGGGATTAGTTATCGTTCAAATCTGTGACCTCTTGGTCAAAGGTTATCATCGTCATACCAATCTGATGGTGGCATGGGTGGCTAGTGCGTAAAGCGCTTGCCTCTCATCACTGTGGCCTGGGTTCGATTCCCGGTTCGGACCATTTGTGAGTAGAGTTGTGCGTTGGTTCTCTCCTGTGCCACAAGGGTTTTTCTCCGGGCTCTCCGGTTTTCCTCCCTCCGCAAAAATCAAACACTTTTGATCTCTGGTTGTGCTCCTCGGTCAGACATAAGTCGTATGGCGGCTGCCAAAGGCGCCTTTACATGCGTTCAGCTCGTCCATGTTGTAGCCGTGTCCTTCATAATTCAGCTTCTCAGCTGCGAGTAAGGATGATTAGCCCCCTAAATTATTAGTATAATCTAGTCAGTGACCTGCCCCCCGATTGGACCAGATTACCCCAAGGACTACATGCAATCCCCGCAGAATGTGCACTGGGTACCAGACAAACCTTTGAGGGGGGTTTCTCTGATTTTTAGACCAATGTGTGTAGGAGGGCACAAGTTTCTTAGATTTCAAGCTTAATTCTGAGAATGGGATGGCTTTCTTCTAAACCCTTTGCGAGACCAAAATGCTCTTTCTTACACACTCCGACTTGAAAAGAAACCTCTAAACAACCTGCCTTAATTAGATCTAAGAAAACCCTTTAAAATGTTAAGATGCCTCTTTGAAGTGTTCTTTGTATTAAGGAACGTGCGAGGTAAAGACGTATTTCGATAAAAACAAATTCTATGATTATATATGTATATGTCACGTGTTGTATTTGTATATGTATTGTAACATTGGGTTATTGCCTGCCTTGTATGATATTAAAAAAAAGTTTTTAAAAATCAAGTCAGCATACCAAATCTATAATGAATACCCATGCAGTAGGGAGTATTTCAGAACTTGAGTATTTTGGTTCCTTATGGAACAATCAGTGTAAAATCTGAAAAGAAATTCCCATATGGGCAAAAATTCCCATATGGGTGTGCATGTACCGGTACCTTATATACCTCAAATGGGCAAGGATTCCCACATGGGTGTACTGGTTTTCTCTCCCATGGGCAAACTTTCCCATATGGGTAAACCTTCCCAAATAGGCAAGCTTTACCAACTTCCTTCCATAATTAGTTTCATCAATGTGTAGCCCCCCTCCCCCCAAAAAACCTCTTCGTATTAAAACTTATAAAGTAAAATTTAAAAAAAAAATTGGAATATCAGTCCAGTGTTAAGACACATCTTCCCAAACCTGACCTTTTGTCATTTGTTTTGATCTTTCATTTTTATTGATTTTTTAGTTATATTTGTTTTAATGTCTTTTTAGATTATTATCAATTAACAATAGCAGTTGTTATATACAACGCCTGAATAAATCCCTGTAGTTTGATTGATGGGTTGTTGATCATGGCATCACATATCATGGAATTATTCGTCCGAACCCACGGCCCGGCCTCCCTGCATATTAGAAGTCCCATTCCACGATAAATAGAAGTTACCTTGCACGGACATACTGTTACCAATCAGGTGGTGGGAATTTATTCAGGCATTGTAGCGAATAAATAATTAATGTTTCACATTTTTGTAATGAAAGTAATAATTTTGTTCAGTGACGGATGGAATGTTCTACTCCACGAGGTGCATGGATCATTCCATGTCACTGCGTGAACTTATTCTAACAATTGCACTCCAAACATTAATTATTTGTATATTGAAACGGAAATATACGAAGTAACCAAATTTGGTGAATTGTGACAATATCTTCAGCAGTGTACTTAAAGACTTTGCAGTCCGTAAGAGAATTTACACAGATCCGACAATAACTGATACGCACATAAATTAACTTTCCATTGTCCGGTTTTGCTGATGCGCCATAGTGTTATGTGATCGCACTGATGTAGTTTACTGTTTCGCTTTATTTCTGGCTTTTCAACAAAACTGGATGTTTGTAGTCCGGTACCTTCATGTGAGGCAAAATTCTTCAGACTTCCAATCATTGCAGCGTTACGCATTTCATACGAGTGTGGCATTTGTCACACTTTCAAGCAAGTGGGCCAACGCACTTTTGATATTTGACTCTGACATCAGATCCTGCATATCCAATCAGAGAGCTCCTTGTCATCACATGATCAGAGCATTGGCCAGTCAGATTGAACTGAACATCAAGTTATGTCGTTGTTTTTTTTCATGTCTTTCCTTAAGTCTGTATTTTTTATTCAGGAGATTTAAGCTGTTGTTATTTTGTTTAATCTTCATAGTTTGGAGATATATTTTCGGATGTTGTCTTTGAGATTCCCAAGTAATTATGCAATGATTTTGAGATTGTTTTTTTTTAAGCGACAAAACGGTTGGGAATGCAATTGAAGTTGTTCACATTTAAGAACTGCTGCTGTTCACTATGCTGGACGCTATGTGTCTGTTAATGAAACATGTGCCGAGATGACAAAGAAATTAAAACATTTTGCTGTATGCTGTAATATTTGTAATAAAAAGTGATTATCTTGAAGCATATAATTCAACAAACGTTTCTTTCGTTTGCATGTGTTGGCTTTTCTTAATCATTTTTTTACTTCCTATTTTGAAGTGATGGGTTGCACCTAAATCCCTCCATACATTATTTTGGTGATTTTATAATTTCAAAATTCGTAATTATTTCAGTTTTTTCTGGGGATGGACGAGGGGTAAAAACCTCAGGCCTCATTTTTTTTTTTAAACAAAACCGTGCCTTGAAGACGAAAGGGGAATTTCACAGATCAATATTGAATTGATCTGCTGGGAGCTGAATTTTGATGAACAGCGCCCCCAACGGTGAATGTTTCTACGTTCCTAATTCGCTCGTCCCCATCTCCCCAAACAGGGCGCTGGGAATGGCTGATCACTTCACAAACATTTTGTGACGGAAGCATAGGGTCGCAAAGAATTGTGGGTAGCTTACTGCCTCGATCAATGGACGTACATTTTAATAGCGGGCTCGAAAAAAATTACTTCTGCGGTCCCTTTGTTTTTGCCCCAAAACATCTCATTACTAAATCCAGTCTAGTGCCCTCTATCCCATCAAGGGTAGTGACCCACGAAAACAGTGGCTGTTTTATTGGGTTTACTTCTTATGTTGCTCTTTTTTTTGGGGGGGGGGGTAATTAAAGCCTACATTTTTCTAATTCCACATTTTTGAACCTAAATTTAAGGTTGTGTTCAATAAATTCATGGAGGATTTTTAAATTTTTCCCCCTCTACTTTTAAACGAACTCCATTTTAATAGGCTCTCTCGATGAAAGACTTGACTGGCGTTCGTCTTCTGTCGAGCCAGACATCAAAAACTCCGCAATGTATATGATTTTGGTTGAAATGTATTCTAATTTGTGTAACTAAATCCTTTAACCTCAATCAAAACAACTTGAAAACATCATTGTGCCAAAGGACCGATCTATTATCCTTTAGTAACAGGTGTTGAGTATGCAAATTAAGCCGAAGCGTGTAAATCCAGCCAATCACAACGCTCATTTGAGTACAGGCTGTCCAATGGAAAAAACTTGGTAGCCAATCACCGTCGCGCGTTGCAGTGGGCAGACGACATCGCTCTGGTTCTGGTCATTACTTTTGTTACCGCGCATTCCGATGCGACTGCAGAACAATAAGATGAAATCACGGGAAGGATTCTTTGCAGCCGAAATTGTTTTGGAAACGTCTATATATTGGCGAGGAGATGGTTTGTCTACACAATGAAGATGTGGCTGGTAATGATGAGGGGCTGAAACGTGGAAAAGACTGGCCGAAAGAGCTGCAAAATGCGGTACGTAATACCGAAGAATTTTACGCATTCACTTTTGGTGCGTAATAATGTGTATACTCATTGCGTTACACTTACAAAACATCTTTCGTGAGTTTCCGCCATGTTCACGCTGCATGCGTGGCAGCTGGGGGCGGATCCAGGAATGTTTGCAGGGGGGTCAGGCCCGTCAGATTTTGTTATGTCCGATTGTTGCAGACAGGCAGAATGTCATTTTTGTTGTTATTACTGTAATATTGTTATAATTCGTTTTTGGTGTCAGAGCAGGGGGAGGGGGGTTCGACCACCTCCTCTAGGTCCGCTCCTGAGCTTGCATTTTGTTTTAATCCCCCAGAACAATGGGGAGTGACACAAAAAGTAAGAAAGGAGCAACGTTCTATGTGGACTTCGTCCAACGAATTGAGTTGTCATTTTTTTTAATAAAAATATTTTTGATGTTAGGAGCGCTCCTCCACTTTCAAGCCGAAGCTCTCAGTGTGAAGCCATGTTTGACATTTAGGACCTTTTCTTCTTTGATAATCACCACAAGAGGGAGAGAGAGAGCACCAATGCTCTCGGTTTAAATGCTGTTTTGAAGTCCATCTGCTCTTAAAAAAGAATTTAGTGTTCCTAAGTAAAGCATTCATGATGTATAAAACTATGTGACCTCATTGTAAATATTGGCCAAAAAGTTTAGACTGGGAAACAACTCATAAATTCTGTAAAGCAAATACTTAACAATTTTCACGACTCTCCAATGAGTTCGTATGAATAACCGGCGTCTGTGACATACATTTGTTATGTATTCTCGTCACACCCACCAAATGTTTACCCCAAATTTTGGCGACCCCAATCCCCAAAAGTACTCCATTCCAAAGGGAATTGTTTTTATTATTTCCCAGTCGCTGACCTGTTTCCTGACTATCGTATTTAATTCCAGCACCAGCTGCAAGACGCGACACCACGACTACAAGAGCGGTCCAAAAATGAAAGGAAAAATCCTCGAAAAATATTAACTCGGTGTAATTCCAGGCAACTCACGAGCTTTTTCTTTTTAATTCGAGCTCCACGAATTCCTTAGTTGTAGACAGAGGGGTTAAGGGGAGAACGAGCTTTGCAAAGCTGCCTGAAATACCCACACAATTCTAGGATGATGTTTGCACCGCGAGCTTAACGCGTTTCAAGAACTTTCCGGGCAAAGATCATCTCAAAACCAACAGGAGTATTACACCCAGACGCTGCCTGAAAATGATGAATCATTAACCCAAGTTTATTGATTTGCTACTAACAAATTCGTGCATCATAATACCCCAAAATCGGCGATCATGAAGGAGTTTGAACAGTCAGCGGGGCGAGTTAATTCAGTCCACGGGTACTTCAGTTCAAGTGCACGGTAGCCAGTTGTTAGACGCGCACGCCAGCTCGCGCCGTACCCGGCAGAACAATTAGCCCAGCTTGAAGTGTTTCGGTAAAAAAAAAAAGGTTCCGCGCGGGTTGCTGAGTGTATGGATCGTTATGTTATTAAACATTCATTAAAAACCTGAAGGAGTGGGAAAAGTACGTCATGCTGTTGCTGCGACCACCATTAAACTATTCCGATAGGTCATTAGGACCAATGTGTAGTGGAAAGAGCCCTAGTACTCGCTTCACTTGAAGGAGAATCGATCTGCAAATAAAAACCAATAATTCGTGAAGATTTTGCGGAAACATTCTCTCTCGAAACAGCAACAGCAGTGGGAAAACTTGAAAACAGAACAAGCAGTTCTATTTTGGAAGTTGAGAATAATAGAGTTTGTCAGGTCGTAGGATTTCCTTAGCAAGAACAAAATTCGGCCTTGTACAGGGCCTACAGGCCCATAGGGTTAATTTAAAAAATACACCAAAATGGCGCTCCCTTTGTAAGAAATTCTGCATGTGGTACTTTTCAGATCTGAAGGATGTGAAACCCCAATTAATAAGCTTTCATTTAGTAAAAGAATCATTCATATCGCTCGTGTACCTTTCCAGTTATAGACTTTAGAACACACAAATACAGTTTAAACACAATACAGCTACATAACTCCTATATTGAAAGTCGGTAATGGGCTCAATTGATCATGAGTTTAGTAAGTCCGACTCCTGAATGCTTGGCCAACACCACATAACTTTTTTGGTTTCTCTTTATCATTTTTTTCTGGGTACTGATTGGAATAAACATGAAGTAAAAATGAAGGATATATTTAAACAGACCAGATCTTCTTCATATATTGATTGAAATACTTGTGTGTATCGAAACCAGATGCTAGTTCAGATGTGTTGAATCGCAGAGTTCAAGTTATTTGATGGACGGGTTTACCTATGACTTTCGTCTTATAGTTGATGCCATTGGTTCCGGTTGGTGTAGAGTCCAATTTTCTAGTCTGAGCATGGACACCTGTGGGACCTTATTAAGGTTGTAGGAGGCCAGCCTCATATTCCTGCAATTGAATATCGGAACTACTTCAATAACACTTGGTATTGATACCTTGTGAAGTAGAATTTAGAGTAATGAAATGTACGGTTCGAAATTCTAAAGGTATTTTCCGATTTTTTTTTTTTTTTTTTTACTTTTAGGAAATGAAAGCGCGGCACCTCACGACTGCATCTACTATGGTATAACCTCCTCCCCCCCCCAGCCGTTAATATTGCTTTTTTTCTGCGTGTTGATGTCGAGGACTCTACAGTGGCGCGCCCGGGGGGGGGGGGGGGGAAGGGGGGCTCGGGAGGCTTGAGCCCCCCCCCCCCCCCCCAATTTGTATTTTTCCCCCCACGATTTTACCTTGTTGATATGTATGTGGCCTATTTTCGGGTAGTATAATAGGGGTGTAAGTGGCGCTACCAATGTCATAATAGGTCCCCCCCCCGAAAAAAAGACTCCAATTTTTTTTCTGCGGCCAACACTATTGGGCAACTATAATTTTTTGAAAAAAATGAGCCCCCCCCCAAAAAAAAAATCCACACCAAATCCTGGGTCCGCCACTGGGACTCTATAGTGGATCATAGGCAACACAAAATAGTCACTTGCCTGTAGTGCCCCCCCCCCCCCCTGAAAAATATATTCATCCCAGGTTGCCCCCCCCCCCCCCCCCAATTTAACCCTATAGTTATACGTTACTGAAATGCGGTTACAATGTAGGGAATAATAATCGTTGATGCATGCCAAGTGTTGCAGTTTGTACTACTTAAACCCTTTTGCCATCCCAAAGTAACCCAATGTGAGCGTTGGCTGAAACGTCTATGGGCCTTATGCACGAGTCAGCCAAATTGAATTGAAAGTGAGGCAAAATCTTCCTGATTTGGAATTTGCGAAGAGAAATGAAAGCAAGTAAATAACTAACTAATTCAAGTCTGCTTCAATAAATAATTTAAAATTAAACATTCTCTAATGTTTTATTCCAGATTAAAAAAAAAATGACAGTACAATAAGGCTGCATAAAAAGTCTGGCGTCATCCCATTCAACAGTTAACAATTTATGAAATACATTCAGGGAACTCGACAAAAATGGCCAACTCGTGCCGAAGGCCCATGTGCACTAATACCCTCAAATAATTGAAAGATCAGACTATACATTCCGTTACTATTCATTTGCTAAGCCTGTGGCGTGGTCTACGCCTTGAACAGTGATTATAAGCAAGTGTCAATTGGTTTTTCAGCGACATCTTTGGGACCCAACGTTTTCATCCTCATATACATTCTTGATAAGAAGTCGACGAGTAGCGTGCGACCAACTGTGCATAG